CTGTCTCCTCAAGCTCTATCCTTTCTTCAATTAATCTTCTAATATACATAGACATATATAAGCTTATTGATGAACTTCTACATTATTTCATTTGATTGGTAAATTGCACCAACGGCAAAATGTTTTTTCATCCAAAATGTATCAAATCACGAACTTATTAGTGGCTCATGGGTTAGAGTCTTATAGATTTAATCTGTTTGGAAATGCCCGATTTATGTAGGTATTCATCATGCTTTCAAAGTCACATGGTACAGTTAGAAAATACCTTGTAAAACTGCAATTATAATTTACTAGGTACATAGTCCATCCATTTCTTTTTATGATGACACAGGGAAAAATAAATGATAATTTATTAAAGTAGCATTAAGCAGGACCACTTGCAACCTCCAGTTTATCAGGCCATTTATATTCTTAAAAAAAAAAAAAAAGTAAATTCATCAGGTAAGGGATAACATATAATATAGATATTATGTGTGAACCAGCAAAGAGAAGACTGGGGGTGGGGATTTAGTAACAGCCTTCAACTACCTGAAGGGTAGTTACAAAGACAACGAACCTGGACTGTTCTCAGTGGTGGCAGATGACGGAACAAAGAACAATGGTCTCAAATTGCAGCAAGGGAAGTTTAGGTTAGATCAGGGGTGGGCAAAATGTGGCCTGCAGGCCAGATGCAGCCCGCCAAGCCACTCTATCTGGTCCACAGGGCCCCTGCCTGACTGTCACGCAGCCCTCGATGGCTTGCCAAAACTCAGGAAGTAGCCCTCCGCCCGCCCAAAATAATTGCCCGCCCCTGGGTTAGATATAGGAAAAACTCTCTCACTAGGAGGGTAATAAAGCTACCCAGAGAGGTTATGGAATCTCCAACCTTAGAGGTTTTTAAGACCTGGGTAGATAAATCGTTGGCTGAGATGATCTAGTTGAGGATAGTCCTGCTTTGAGCAGGGGATTAGACTAGATGACCTCCTGAGGTCCCCCAACCCTAACTTTCTGTTTCTATGTGCAGCACAAACAGTGCGTGTCCCCAGCGGCTGGGGGGGCACAGCTGCACCAGCGGCGGCAGGAGCCTGGCAGTGGAGAGCAGGGAACTCCTGCAGATAGATGCCTCCGGCACTGTCGGCGGTGGAGGGAAGGGGTGGCGAGCACTGACCACAGGGTGAACAGGGACTGCCCGCAGATGCCACCAGCAGTGCCGGCGGTGGGGTGGCAAGCAGCGACTGCCCACAGGTGTCACCAACACTGTGAACCGCCATGCGTAGGGGGTGCACATTCACCCGCATACACCCCCTACACGTCGCCCCTGATGCGCAGTATCCATTTCTATTCATCTGCATAACAAACTGCTATTAGTAAAAGATTTTTCTTGTCTTCTGTTAGTGACTATTGTAGGAAAGAGATAACAAGGAAAAGCACTTAAATGTAAACCCCCTGAACCAAACTCAAATTCTAATGCTTGTTTTAAACATAGCAACTACACTGAAGGAAACTGATACTGCACAGGTTAAACTGATAGTAGAATCTGCCCCAGTAAATAGCATTCAAATACCAGGTCCCGATTGTGTCTGCTGGGGAGCCTTGTGCTCTGTCCTAGAATGTATTAACATTTCTAGAATTTGCTTTTATCTGGCCTTATCTGCCTATATTTCTGGACTTTAGACTTTCTGGATTTCAAACTCTAGACTTCTGGATTCATAATTTATTATTATGAACTCAATAATAAAAATTAAAAAATAAATAAATAGCACTATCGATCCTAGAGGTCCTTGGCTGCCTTTACTATATTCATCCATTCCCATCCATTGTGTGCCCTCATCCTCTAGTTGTGCACATTTAATTCTGTAAGTCTAATGTTATATCATCTAACCATCTTCGCCTTGGTCATGGTCATTCAGATGGTCTTCTCCACTCTGGCACCTTGAGGAGCACTTTCTCTGGTGTCCAGATTGCTTCCGTTTTTTCAATGTGGTGCAGCCACTGTAGTCACTGTACTCTAATTTCCCGTCTCAGAGTTGGGTCTCTACACAATTGATATAACTCATTATTGGTTCTTATGCACCATTCTTGTGTTATGGTAATTATTCTGTGTACCAAAGATTTTCTGTAAAACGTTCCTTTAAAAGCTCTACTAATGTCTTGTTCACTTGTGAGAAAACCCAGGTTTGACTACCATAGGTTATACATGGCCTGACTATGGTTTTATAATCTTGAAACTTAGTTTTCCTTGGGATGAGCTTGGATGACAGGAGCTTGTGCATTGCAAAGTAGGCTCTACTTCCGACTTCCATTCTTCCTTTATATTATCATACTGTGCTATGATAGAGCCTAAATATTTTAAGTGGGGCAGCTGCTTAAAATTTGTGCTGCTTATTGTTACGTGAAGCCCCTGATTTACTACTGTCCTGTTTCCCAGCAGATATCATGTTTTATCCACGTTCACTTGTAGCTCATTTTTCTGTACTTCATCTGTTAGTTGTATACTCATGTTATTTATGCTCTTCATTCCTTTTTCCAGTGCCAGGTTGAATAGGATCAGAGACAGACCATCTCAATCTGGTTCCAGTTGGGAAGAGGTCCAATTTACTTCCATAGGTGCTAATTCTGTGTCTTGATTCAGGCATAGAAACTTCAGTGCATTCAATTAGTTTGTTGGGAATTCAGCTAACATGGTCCACAGACTTTCTCTATGTATGATATCACAGGCTTTCTGGAAGTCAATCAGAAGGATGGCTTCCGATCAGCTCCCTGGCACACCCTAGTTAAGGCAATCACAAAAGAATGGATGGAGCTACTAAAAAATGTTTTATCATAAGGAACCCAATCTTGCTCATTTTAGATAAACAGCACTGCTGACTTCAGACTCTCTGTACGTGTAAGAAAGCCAAAATCCAAAGCAGTCAAAGACGTGTTGCATGGGGAAGTTGCCCCTATGCTGAAAGCATGACTAGGCATGCTTAAACATGGATAGTATGCAGCATGACTTGAACTCTAATATGAGTTTCCAACATCCCTCAAAGGGTAAGGACATGAACGATCAGGAAGGGTACCTTAGCATGAGTCAGGATGCAGATTTCCCCATTTGTCCATTAACATATGAAAAAAAACACAACAGTTGCTACTCCTTTCCTGAATTGTCAAGGAACAAGCAGTTATACATGTGCGTGATACAAAGATGATTTACAAGATCAGTAAGCAGCCTGCAGGGGTCACACACTTCCCAGAGTGAAGGAAAAAACACTTCACACATACTCTTTCAACCAAGAGGCTGATTAAGCACAAAAGGAAATTAGAGATGTTCCTCCCAGGAGAACCTGGCACCATAAGAACTGTCTTTGTGAATTACAGATGCAACTGCCTCTCCACATGGCTGGAATATAATGATTCTCTGCCAGAAATAGATGATATTGTGTAAAAGCACAGAGATAACTAGATTAGCCAGACAATGAAAAAGTCCTCAAGATATGGTCAGGTTCTTTTGTTTAATACTGATGCCTTTATATAACCTTAGATAACTTACTCTAGAAGATATATGGCCAATGATTCCATCTATTAATTCAGCTTTATTTTAAAAATAGGGGTTACAGAAAGCAAATTAAAAGTGAGCATTAAAAAAACAAGTGAAGCATATTTGCCATTTTGCCGTTAACTTCCACAGTTTGACCATCATGAGATGGTGGCTCTATTTTTTTTTTAATTGGGCTTTACTGATTTTATAAAAACACTTTATAAGGTACAGTAAATTCACTCTGGAATAATCTAGCAAAAGAGGTCTGCTTAAATATGTTAATTAAATGCTGACAGGAACCCCAAAGGATTCCCATAAAACCAAGATATGCAGACAAAGTATGGGTAATAAGTCCAAATTTGTGCAGGAAAATTAATTTTATTCATATATTTCTGGAGATGATACCTGGAGACAAATAATAATAAATATTCAGTTCCTGTCTAAGACTTTTCATCTGAAGATTTCAAAAGCAATAAGATCTCAGGCTCTCTGATTTCCTGTGCCAAATTTCATTTGAGACAATGAAAAACAAACGGGAATACATAGCATATGGGAAGGGAAAAAGAAATTGAAGAGTGATTTACAGCGAGATAAAATGCCCTGTGAAAGGTTAATTTAATTTCTTTCTTTTTTCCTTTTCCTACAGGCTCAGGCATTTAGGATAAGAAAAGAGGAGGAGATAAAAAAAATGTACAAAAAAAAATAATCTGACCAAAAATCATTTTCTCCTGTTTTCAAATAAATCACCAAAAAAACCACATACATGCCCCTGTTCTAGAATACTGCATGTGTAAAATAGTTTGCTTTGCTCCATTTCAGTGAGCTAAATTTAGTCATGGTTTAAATGGGTGCAGACTTTTATGAATCAGTGGTCACTTTAGCCTTTCACAGACTTTCCCCCCCCCAAAATGTCATGTATTGAAGACTACTGGAGTAGGTCATAGTTGCTATATTAAACAGATTATCTATGTACTCTCTTTTGGCTACCCCAGGCCTCATTTTGTCAGATGTCCAGTTATATCAGCTTCTTAAAAGGTCCAGGAGATCTGACAGTGCTCTTCACGAAACAAGAAGCACTCAACATTTTGAAAAAGCTGGCCTCAATTTTGCCAAGGAAAACACAAGTATAATGCAAGCATCTAATACCAGACATTCAGCTTAGTGTGAGACAAGAAGATGAAATGTAAATATATTTAGGAATTCAACACAGGGTGCAGTTACAGATCATTTATGGTAATATTGATTGTTCAAAAAGAAATGCACAAACTGTTTATTGTTATCCTCTTAAAAGAATAAAAACAAGGATCTAAAGCACAGGGGAGATTTGTTTGAACACAGAATGAAAGTTTAGGACCACAGATTGACTGAAAATAAGGAACTAATATTTATTTGGCATGTTAGAATTTGTCTTTGTCAGTGTATTAGAAATTAAAGCATCATGGTTTGACTGCAAAAGCTCTTCAGTCTCCTATCAAAGCTAAGAAGAATTAAATATACTTACATGTATTCTCTGTGTGCAGAATGCACAGCCGCTGCATTGCTGTAACGCCACAGTACTATTGCTGATGACAAAACATCCAGGGTAGCATCAAACTGAAAACGATATAAAGTCATTTGCTTTTTTAGACTATTACAGTATACTGTACTTACAGCAATGAATTTATAATTCCACTTCCAGGGGACAAAGCATCTCCAAGAAATCATTTTAATGAAAGCTGGATTTACATTCATTAAAATGAACTTCAGCTTTTTACTGTGTATTATTATATACTAGCGTACATTAGAGCTGAACCAGTCAATCAAGGAATTAAGAGCTTTACGTCTTATGTCTGTAATCCACCATTGTGAAGAACTGCTAGCCAAAAAAATCTTGTAATCAGCATTAATACCTAAAACACTAATATATTCCTTAACACATTAATTCTAAAAGGAATAACCGTTATTTTCAAGCAGTCTAATTATCCATACATTTTTCTTTGAATTTCTTGTTTTTGTTTAAGAAAACTTGGCAAGGCAACTTTGCAAATATAAATTTTTAAATTTTACTTTATGCTGCATCTTCAGCAAAATAACTATACCCCCATTTTCAGTACATAAATTCAGTAAAATCTCTGTTATCTGGCATCCCTGGGATAAGGGGATTGCCAGTTATGTAAAAAATCTGGTTATCTGAAATAACCCGGAAGGGTTTTCAGATAACATGGAGCTGGGTGGCGGGGGAGGGGAGGGGAGGGGAGGGACGGGGGGGGTGGTAGCAGCCACATTCGGAGAAGCAACAGCAGCACAGGGTGGTGGGTGGTGGCCACTGCATGAGAGCTCTCCCCCCGCCCCCATGTCTGGCCGTCTGGCCAGAAACTCTGGTTAATAGAGTATTCTGGTTGGTAAAGTACCAGATAACAGAGATTTTATTGTATATTTTTTGTACGTTTTTGTTGCGATACCATCTCTGCTCAGAAATGGATCTCTATCACTGCAATAATTCAGATGCAGACAACAAAATTTTCATAAAATACTGCTACTTTCAAATTTATGTGAAAATATGAAAAAGGCTGGACTTTCAAGTTACTTTCCATTTAATTAGAAATAATTAGCTCTACTGATAATCTCTCCTGAAAAAAATATTGTTTACCTTTTTATTGACAACTAGTACTGTTTATAAGATGTAGTAATATCATAATCCTGGCCCCATGGAAGTCAATGGAAATTTTGCAATGGACTTTAGTGGGGATAAGATTTCATATCAAGTTTCAGAAATGAATTCTGGACATCAGATCAAAGCCTGAATAAAGACTGAATGTACTGCAGAAACCAAATACTGGTGTATATCCATCTTGGTTTTTTCTACAATATCTATCAGTGTAAGATCTATGTGTAGATATTACCGCACATTACATTCCTAGCAAAAATAGACTATTAAAACAGACCATCAAATTTTGTATTTATCATTTCTAAGATAACATTTGCTCAAGTATTTCTCTAATCAGTCACTGATTTTATTCCACCATGCTCGGCACATTCATTGGCCAGGAACCTAGACAAGAATACTAGTGGTCACAGTTGAAACAAGAAGAGTGGAACATGATGCTATAAAGCGTATTTATAAAAGTACTTACAGCAAATCCAAAAGATGATGCACTGTACCTCATTATGGAGACAGCTATAAAAGAAAGAACATATTTAGCATAACTGTAAATCTTCTCTTGGATATTTTCTTCTGTCTTGAAGGACTACATTTTGGAAAAAAAAGGAAAAATGCACAAGTACATAAAAACACATTAGAGTGTTAGTTTATTGCAAAATCAGGTTGTAACAGGAAGGCTGAGCTTCTTTTGGTTCTCATAAGAAATGACCTGGTTGACAAACTTCGGCAAGAAAAGCCTTGCACTACAGCAAAAGGCATGGTGAGCAGGGATCCTGGTTTTCTCTGTTTAAAAAATTACAAATTCTCTGATTAAAAGAAAACCGTACATTCTCTAATAAAACCCCCAAAATCTGCAACTAAAATGAAATGCCACTATATATATATATATATATATATATATATATACACACACACACACACACACACACACACACACACACGTATCAACTGATCAATGTTCTATTGATATATTTACAAATTTAAAACAATTTGGAAGCCCAGCAGTGTCTCAATCACTGTAATAAAATAAATTCTAAATACTTATAAATTTTGGTATATGATATTGGGCTTTATTATCATGGAAAATCAGAGCTCCCCCTGCCCCCTTTGCTCACCAGGACACAGGTCCAGGCCCCTCACTCCCAAGCCATAGCCTTCCAGCCCTGCTCATGCCTCTCACTCCTCCCCCATAGCCCCCTGGCCCTGCTGGTGTCCCTCACTCCCCACCTGCAGACCCCCGCCTCCTCCAGTCCTGCCAGAGGTGGCTCCCAGCTGCCAGGGCTACAGAGTCAAGGACCCAGGTCCACAGCTCCCTGCCCCCTGCAGCAGCACATGAGCTCCAGCTGTTGCCCACTGAAGGCAGCAGCAAAGTGGAGTATGAAGCTCAGCTCCCCTCCCCTACCGGTGGCATGGCCAGAGTACACCCTGTCAGGGGGGGTGGCGGGGCAGATGCAAGCTCTCCGCTGCAGGCTTGGGCTCCCTGGCCTGTGCCCTCACCCCAGGGTGTCCACAGCGAAGTGGATGGGACCCAGCCCAACAGGGCAGAGCAGGCTGGATGAGGAAGCTCCTTGCCATTGCAAGCCATACGCTCGCCTGGCAAGGCACCCCCTGCCCACCCAGCAGCAGTGAGGGACACAGCTCTGCACTGCCACCCCCGCTGCTGCCAACCAGACAGTGGATGCCTGGAAAAGGGGCACAGGGCTGCTGTGGCAAGAATCTTCCCTGCCCATCCCTGCTCTGCCTTGCCATGACGAGTCCCGCTCACTGGGTCACGGAAGACCTGCGGCAGGGCAGCAGGGCAGAGAGCACAAGTTTGCAGCGGGCAGCCTGCCCCACTCCCACCCTGTGCACAGATCTGGGGGCACGTGCCCATCCTACCCCCCTGGAAGTGTACACAGCAGAGGGGAGCCAACCCCCCACCCAGCCCAGACGAGTCCCCTGTGGCTCCATCCCCCTCCCCACTGGAGCCCTGCAGCCTGACAAGGCCTCAAGCCCCATGCACTGCTGCAGCTGGGTAGCAACAGCAGCCCCAGCCCCCGCCCTGTCCAACTCCCTCCCTCCCTTTCTACTGGGGCCTCAATTCCCCCATCCTCCATCAGAATTGCCTGCGGGGAGCTGCTCTCCAGGCTGCTTGGCAGCCATGTGCATGTGTACGTGTGCACGTGGCACCCTCTGCTTGATCGCCCTCCTCCTGCTCCCCCCAGCCCCTTGCAGTCTGGAACTCTGCCAGCCTGCAGAGAGCTCTTTGCAAAAGAGCAAAATCTGTGTGTTTTTCTGTTTAAATGAGAAATTCACATTTTTCTCAGTTAAAAAGGTAAACCCATTGGGGGGGGGGGTGTCATTTTTCCATGGGAAACAGAAAACCCTGATCCCTGGTGATGAGCCAATAGGCATTACTCTTTCTTCCAAAATAGTACCGGACCACTACTTCAACCTGGCATTGAGGGCACCATGTTTCTGACAACACTGCATATTAGATGAGGTTTTAAGTACAGCTGGATGAAAACCAGAATTTCATTCCCAAGAACATTTCACATTTCTAGAGTTTTTATTCCTAATAGAAAAAAAAAAAGTCAGAAAGGCAAAATTGGCAGCAGCCCAGAAACTTTTTAAACACTATTTCAGAAGAACCAAAACAGAACTGGCCAGAAGACTCCAAGCTGCTAAGCAAGCTCCTCAGCTTCCTGGCTTGCTTTCTGCTAGGGACTTAGGTAGCCCAGGATGCTGAGCACCCCTTGGAACACCACCAGGTGGAATGCGGCACACCCTTGGGGCTGGGCATCCTCCCCAACAATCAGCTGAGTAGAGGCTGGGCAAGCAGAAGACCCAAACAGGGCAGACTTCCTTCCTGTTATGCTTCCATCAAAAGTTTTGATGAAACTGACATGTTTTCATTAATCACTTTGATTCCATTAAATCAACACGTCCATTAAAATTTTCCAACTAAAGAGCTTTACAGGCACCTCTAATATTTTAGTTGTGAATACTGCATACACACACACGCACGCACGCACACACGCACGCACAGTAAAACCTGCATTATCTGGCACCTTGCAAGCCAGAATGGTCTATTAACTGGCACGCCGGCTTGTAAGGTAAAAGCGAAACTGGGAGTGCCCACCATGGCACTTCCGGTTTTGTCAAGCCCTCACGGCCCAGGGCATAGCAACCTGCATGGGGCTTGCCTCCCTGTTCCTCGGGGCCCGCAGGAGAGGCAGCAGTCTGAACAGACAAAGACACCTGTTCGGGCCTCTCAGGTAACAGGCATATTTTGTTATCTGGCACCCCACATTCCCCATGGATACCGGATAACAAAGCTTTTGGTGTACACACACACACACACACACACAAGCCATCGGAATAACCTGAGAATGAAGGGTATCATCCTGAGAGAGGAAAAAGAATAGTTAAAGCAGATTAGCTGTTGTGGAATGATTTACTTGAGGAAGAAGTGGGCAACTGTTGGAGAAGTCCACTGTAAAATAACCATTTTATCAGATTCTGACCTACAACAGGCCCTGCAAGCTAATTTGAAGCATCCAGTTCATAAACCAGATCTTGCAGCATTTGGACAGCCTTTGTTTTCTTGTCTGTACAACCTCTGTATTCTCTTAGGTCTACAACATAAAAGTACAATTAATTTAATCGGCCCTATTTGACCAAACTCCAGAAACGAGAGTTCTAATCTGTGCGATTGCTCCAAATAAAGTGAACGCTTAAAAGGCTTACGTTCCTTTTTTAAACTGACATCATTTAATTCCCTCCACAGGAAGAAAAGAATTTTCTGGATTGTTTGGGAAAGAAAACTATTCTGAGAGCTGTAAAACCAGTTTGCTCTGCAATGGAGATGTGGTTTAACTGTTCCTCCCACTAAATATGAACTGCAATTCTGTGGTGATTTTTGTTCATCTGGAAACTAAATAAATAGTACTTTATTTTTAGTATAAGCCTAAGATACAGTTCCAGTTATGAGCATTCCTGAAGTTTACAGATCCAAGAATCTGGTTTCAGCACCTTTATAAAATTAAATGGCCAGCCATGTAATTCATTTCTACATTCAGGTGAGGGTTTTTTTGTTTTACTGTTTTTAAGTGAAGGAGTCTTCAGTTTGTGGTTATTTGTTTAGACCCATCCCTAATTTTTGAGTCACGATGTCCTGCTCTGCAAGCTATCTTTCACTTGCAAACTGAAAGCAGAAGTTATATTACTTGGGCAGGATCTCTAAATGACAGCTAGACTTGACAAGCGGAACTGACATGTACTGTTCTGGATGCAAAACTGAGATATCACACTAGACAACAGATACCATCCTCTTACACCTCCTCATTTAATGGATTTACCCAATTGTAGATTGTTATATCCATAAAGAAGTACTAAGGCTGCACAAGCAAAATATGAGCAGATATACATACATACATACATACATCTTATTTGTCCATGTGTTCATACTGCATAACCAAATGCTATTTTTTTTCTCTCACTCCCATTTTCCAATCTGTATGCATCCATTCTGTCCCTATATATGGAGTTATCTTCCTAATCTATCTGATCACAGAGGCATTTTCTTCTCACCATGATCCAGATTTGAAACCAATTTATACCACGCTTCTCTTAAAAGTGAATTTGTAACTAGTACAAGAAGTGAAATCTAGGATGATGTCCTCACAAAGGAATGCTTTTGGGGGCCCTTTCTTGGGTGTCTGAAGATCTTCAGGCCAAACATTGTATATTGTACACCAGTGAATACATCGCCAGTGCTGAATACAAAAAAAACAACACACACACACACACACACACACTATATGTGTATGTCTACACCTATTTTATAAGGCTGTGTGAAATTTCGACTGATGTTTCATTTCGTTTTGGATTCGGACGTTTCTATGGCCGAAACACCAAATCCAAAACAAAAAGCAGGGCTCAAAACAAAACGGGTGATCCAAAACGTTTTGGATGTTTCAGAGCTGTTTCGGAGGCAAGCTTGTAGGGGGGGGGAAGGACTGCTCTGATATTGACATCTGTAGCTGACCAGTGACAACCATCTGTCCCCGAGGTCCCTTCCAATCCCAATGCTCTGGGGGAGGCACAGAGAAGCACCATAGAAAGGCTGTTTGTGAAGTGCTGCATGACATTTTGCAGCTGCATCTGTGAGTGCCTGGAGCAGCAGCAGACAGCAGCAACTGTAAGCTTGGCTTGCAGTTTGGTAGTGCCTTACTACCAAGTTGTAGCCACTGCCATTAATCCTTTCCTATTTACTCTTGCCTGCCCTTCCCCAAAATCCTGTTATTTGTTCTTTTTATCCCCCTCCTCCCCCAAACAAAAAGAATGCAGCGCTTTGCCTGGAAAGCACTCAATACAGATACATTTATTACACACGCACTCATGCAGACACAGATACAAATCTTTTTCCAGCACACAAAATATGAAGCGTGCTGGAAAGGCAGGTGCCAGTTCTTCTGGCCAGAAAGGGAGAGGGGGCAGAGGGAGAGCTGTAAGTTCCCTCCTCCCTCCCCCAC